AAGAAAAAATAAAGTATTTTCCAGACAAGCAAAACCTGAGGAACTTCAGCACTAGACCAGCCTTATAAGAAATGCTTCAGGGAGTGACTCAACCAGAAGTGAAAGGACATTAATTACTACCATGAAATTGTATAAAAGTATGACTCATTGGTAGAGGTAAACTCATAATAAAATTCAGAATACTCCCTTACTATAATTTAGGTGGTGTATAGTTTTTCAAACCTTTAGTATGAAAGCTAAAATTTTAAATGTTTGTATGTTCATTGCAGCACTTTTTACAATAGCAAAGACATGGAATCAACCCAAATGCTCATCAATGATAGAGTAGATACAGATAATGTGGTACACAGACACCATGGAATACTATACAGCCATAAAAGGAACGAGATCATGTCCTTTGTAGGGACATAGATGGAAGTGGCAGCTGTTATCCTCAGCAAACTAACACAGGAACAGAAAACCAAACACCACATGCTCTCATTTATAAGTGGGAGCTGAACAATGAGAACACATGGACACATAGTGTGGAAATACACACACTGGGGCCTGTGGGGGTGTGGAAGGAGAGCAACAGAAAAAAATAGCTAATGGACACTGGAGTTCATACCTAGGTGATGGGTTGATCTGTGCAGAAAACCACTTTAGGTTTGGCTGTGTCCTCACCCAAATCTCATCTTGAATTGTAGCTCTCGTAATTCCCAAATGTTGTGGGAGGGACCCCGTGGGAGTTAATTGAATCATGGTGGTGGTTTCCCCGATACTGTTCTCTTGGTAGTGAATAAGTCTCATGAGATCTGGTGGTTTTATAAGAGGTTTCCCCTTTCGCTTGGCTCTCATTCTCTCATCTGCTACCACGTAAGACGCGCCTTTCGCCTTCTGCCATGATTGTGAGGCCTCCCCAGCCACATGGAACTGTGAGTCCATGAAACTTCTTTTTCTTTATAAATTACCCAGTCTTGGGTATGTCTTTATTAACAGCATGAAAATGGACTACTACAACCACCATGGCACACTTTTACCTACGTAACAAACCTGCACATTCTGCACATGGACCCTGGAACTTAAAAGTTGAAGGGGGAAGAAAAGGACTCACCACTAGAGAACATCAGAATCTGTATTTGAAGCCAGGCTCCTCTAATTTCAGAGTGCCCACTAATTATTGCTGGATATTTTCTCTTAGTTCCATCAGCCCTTTGAAAATAATTCTCTAGTAGGACAAAATACATAGTTTCAAAGTAATTATTCTATTTTCTTAATGTCTCTTCCAAGAAATTGTGAGCTCTTTAAGGGCAAAGCCAATGTTCAATGTTGATTTAATAAATTAATGATGACTTGTTACTGAAGCCCTCAGAATGATTCAGGGTTTAGGAACTGAGTCTACAAGTTAGCATTAACTGAAGTACAGACTGGGAATGAGTTGCGGGGGGGAGGGATTTGTAAGTGGGCAGATAAGCTTCAGGGAGCCAAGAAAACAGGGGAAGTAAGGCTGTCTTCTGCAGGCTGTCTCCAAGCCAAATTGTCCAGGAATAAATCTTATCTTTGAATTTTTGCCTACATTTCTGTGCTCCCATCTTACTGTTCTCTTCTCAGGTGGGCTGAGTTCTTTAAAAGGAAAACATTATTAATGGGAACAAAAACAATTCAACAATAAGTTGTTAAGAAATATACGATATGAAAAGATATACATAAAGGCAGAAAATTACAAATTGCAGGGGGGAGTGTAAAAGTCTAGAATATTTGTATGCAACCAATGTAAAGTTATCACCTTAACATAGTCTTTCATAACTATAAGGTTTTTTGTTTTTTTTTTTAAATCCCCAAGGTACCAACAAAGAAAAAACAATAGAACAGAGACACAAATTAGAAAGGAAAGGGAATCAAAACTTATCATTACAGAAAACCATCAAGCCACAAAGGTAAACAAGAGAGGAAAAAATCAACAAGAGATCTACAAAATAACCAGAAAACAATTAGTAGAATGGTGGGAATAAGTCCTTACCCATGAAAAATAACTTTGAATATTTTTTATTAAATTATTCAATTAAAAAATAAGATCCAACTATGTGCTGCAAAGAAGACATCAAGACATTCATTCTATCTGTAAGGACATACATAGACTGAAAATAAAAAGATGGAAAATGATTTCCCATGTAAACAGAAATTTTAAAAAGCAGGAGTAGCTATACCTATGTCAGATAAATATAGGCATTAAGTAAAAAACTGTAAAAGAATCAAAGATGGTCATTATATAATGATAAAGGAGTCATTTCAGCAAGAGGGTATAATAATTGTAAATACATATGCACTCAACACCAGAGCACCTAAATATATAAATCAAATATTCTATCTAAAAGAGGTGATAGACTGCAACACAAGAATTGTAGGGTACTTAGAATTCCACTTTCAGCAATGGACAGATCATCCAGACAGATCCATCAAAGAAACATGAGATTTAAAACGCACTCTAGATCAAATGAATCTAACAGAGATTTGCAGAACATTTCCACCCAACAGCTGCAGTATACACATCCTTTTCATCAGCATATGTAACTTTCTCCAGGAGATCATATTTTAGCTCACAAAAGAAGTCTCAACAAATTTTTAAAAATTGAAATTATATCAAGTATTTTTTTTACCACAATGAAATAAAACTAGAAAACAATAACAGGAGGAACTCTGGAAACTATACAAAAACGTAGAAATTAAACAACATGCTCCTCAACAACAAATGGGTCAATAAATAAAGTAATTTTAAAGTAAATTTTATATATTCTTGAGATAAATGAAAATGGGAATGCAAACATACCAAAATCAATGAGATACAGGAAAAGCAATTCTAAAAGTGAAGTTTATAGCAAGAAAAGCTTACATCAAAAAATTAGAAATGTCCTAAATAAATAATCTAATATTGCACCTCAAGAAATTAGACAAACATGAACAGGCCAGGCACAATGGTTTATGCCTATAATCCCAGTGCTGTAAAAGGCCAAGGCAGAAGGATCACTCGAAGCCAGAAGTTTCAAACCAGCTTAGGCAAAAGGTGAGACTGTGTCTCTACAAAAAAACAAAAAAATTAAACAGGTGTGGGGGTATGCACCTGTAGTCTTAGCTACTCAGGAGACTGAGGTAGGAGGATCAATTGAACCCAGGAGTTTGAGGCTATTATTGCCACACCGCACTCCAGCCTGTGTGACAGAGCAAAACTGTGTTTCAAAATTAAAAAAAAAAAAAAGTAGAAACAAAGAAATAATGAAGATCAGAACAGAAATACAAATATAGACATAAAAAATGCAAAGATCAGCCAAACAAGGGTTGGTTTTTCTAAAATATAAACAAAATTGACAAATCTTTAAGCCAGACTAAGCAAAAACAGACAAAATTTAAATATATAAAATCAGAGATGATAAAGGATACATTACAACTAATACCACAGAAATATTTAAAATAACAGACTATTATAAATAACTATAGGCCAATGAATAAAAAAAAAACAGAAAAAATGGTTAAATTCCTGGACACATACAATCTTACAAATTGAATTATAAGAAATAGAAAATCTGAACAGACCAGTACTGAATAGTGAGATTAAATCAATAATAAAATGTCTCCCAAAAAAGAAAAGCCTAGGACTGGAAGGAGTCACTGATGAATTCTAACAAACATTTAAAGAACTAATAACAATCATTCTAAAACTCCCCAAAATTAAAGAGGGAACTCTTCCAAATTAATTCTATAAGGCTCTACAACAAAAAAAAAAAAAAAAAAAAGGGAAAACTATAGGCTAATGGCCCTGATGAACATAGATGTAAAAATCAACAAAATACTAGCAAGCTGAATTTAACAGTTCATTTAAAAAATTATTTGGGGAGGGGAGGTCAAGATAGCAGACTAGAAGCAGCTCATGTGTATGGTTCTCGCGGAGAGAAAACAAAAGGGCTAGTAGTCATTGACCCTATATGCCAATCATTTGAGAAACCATATCAGGATCCATCGAGGCAGCAGAAGAACACAGAACAGAGAGGACCGAAGCTGGCACTGTCCTGTTTTGGCTCAGCATGGAGCCAGGAGAATATCTCCAAAAGCAAAAGGGAGGGTGAGTGAGAGCCCAATTGAGGAATTCACATTCTCCACAGGAACCTATGCACACCGAGAACAGGAAAATGCCCCTGGCCTCACTGTATGCCTTCACTACACTTCTAGATTGAGGCAGAGAGCCTCCCAGACATTTTCCAAGGGCAACTCTTGAATCCAAGGGGACCTCTACAAGCCTTGGGCCCTGGAGTAGACCAGCACAGATACCATAGCCCCAATAGAGGCCACAGTTGCAGTGCCTGGGAGCAGTAAGATTGCTCCACAACCCCTCACCAGGTGGTGCTCAGTACCATGTTGTGGCCCAGCAGTCCCACTTCTGTGTAAACTCAGCCAGAAGGTGCAGCCTCTTGTCCCAGGAAACACCTAGATAGCAGGGTGGGTGATCCCACCCTCACCCACCCTCACCCACCACTGGTAGCCAGGCAGGCAACACGTGCTAGAGCTTCTGGCCCAGTGGTCCTGCTTCTGTGTGAACTCAGCCAGAGGATGCAACCTCTTGTTGTCCTAGGAAGCATCCAGATGGAAGGGCAAGTGTTCCAACCCATTCCCACCACTGGTAGCCAGGCAGGCAATGCCTGCTAGAGTTTCCAGCCCAGCAGTCTTGTTTCTCTGGGGCCTCAGCTTATGTGTATAGCCTCCTGTTTTCCCAGTATAAGCATCTAGATTGCAGGGCAGGCTACCTCACTGCCCCAACCACACATTGGTAGTCAGGCAGGCAACTCCTACTTAAGCTTCCAGCCCAGCAATCCCACTTCTGCCTGAACTCAGCCAGCAGGAGCAGCCTACTGTTGTCCTGGGAAATACCCAGCAGGGAAGGTAACCCCACTGTATTAGTCTGTTCTCACAGTGCTATGAAGAAATACCCAAGACTGGGTAATTTATGAAGGAAAGAGGTTTAATTGACTCACAGTTTTGCATTGCTGGGGAGGCCTCAGGAAATTTACAATCATGGCAGAAGGCAAAGGAGAAGCAGGCACCTACTTTACAGGGTGGCAGGATGAAATGAGTGCAAGCAGGGGAAATGCCAGACACTTATAAAACCATCAGATCTCATGAGACTCATTCACTATCACAGGAACAGCACCGAGGAAACCACCCCATGATCCAATTACCTCCGCCTGGTCCCACCCTTGACATGTGGGGATTATGGTGTAGCAGGATGAGTCACAGACAAAACTCCTCAGACACCGAGTTAAAGAAGGAAGGGGTTTATTCAGCTGGGAGCATTGGCAAGACTCCTGTCTCAAGAGCTGAGCTCCCCGATTGAGCAATTCCTGTCCCTTTTAAGGGCTCACAACTCTAAATGGGTCTGTGTTAGAGGCTCATGATTGATTGAGCAAGGAGGGGTATATGACTGGGGGCTCCATGCAGCGGTAATCAGAACCAAACAGAACAGGACAGGGCTTTTCACAGTGCTTTTCCATACAATGTCTGGAATCTTTAGATAACATAACCGATTAGATCAGGGGTCGATCTTTAACTACCAGACCCAGGGCGCAGCGCTGAGCTGTCTGCCTGTGGATTTCATTTCTGCCTTTTAGTTTTTACTTCTTCTTTCTTTGGAGGCAGAAATTGGGCATAAGACAATATGAGGGGTGGTCTCCTCCCTTAATGGGGATTACAATTCAAGGTGAGATTTGGTTGGGGACACAGAGCCAAACCATATCATTCTGCCCCAGACTCTCTTAACTCTCATGTCTTTTCACATTTCAAAACCAATCATGCCTTCCCCAAAGTCCCCCAAAGTGTTAACCATTTCAGCATTAATAAAAAGTCCACAGTCCAAAGTCTCATCTGAGACAAGGCAAGTCCCTTCAGCCTATGAGCCTGTAAAATCAAAAGCAAGTTAGTTACTTTGTAGATACAATGAGGGTACAGGTATTGGGTAAATACAGCTGTTCAAATGGGAGAAACTGGCCAAAACCAAGGGGCTACAGGCTCTATGCAAGTCCAAAACCTAACAGGGCAGTCATTAAACCTTAAAGTTCCAAAATGATTTCCTTTGACTCCATGTTTCAAATCCAGATCATGCTGATGTAAGAGGGGTGTTCCCATGGCCTTGGGCAGCTCTGCCCCTGTAGCTTTGCAGGGTATAACCTCTGCCTGTTACTCAGTTCCAAAGTCATTTCCACATTTTCAGGTATCTTTATATCAGCACCCTACTACTTTGGTATCAATTTACTGTATTAGTACATTTGTACCCTGCTATGAAGAAATACCTGAGACTAGGTAATTTATAAAGCAAAGAGGTTTAATTGACTCACATTTCCACATTGCTGGGGAGGCCTCAGGAAACTTACAATCGTTGTGGAAGGCAAGGGAGAAGTGGGTGCCTTCTTTACAGGGTGGCAGGAAGGAGTGAGTGCAAGCAGGAGAAATGCCAGACACTTATAAAACCATCAGATCTCATGAGACTCACTCACTATCGTGAGAACGGCATGAGAACAGCCACCTTGTCCCACACTTGACACATGGGGATTATGCAGATTACAATTTGAGGTGAGATTTGGGCGGCAACACAGAGCTAAACCATATTACCCACTCACCCTCATTGCTGGTCACCAGGCAAGAAATGGCAGCTAGAGCTTCTAGCCCAGTGTTCCTGCTTCTTTGTGAACTCAGCCAGTGGGTACAGTCTCCTGTTGTTCTGAGAAACACCCAGATGGCAGAGTGGGTGACTCCACCCACCCCCAACTGTCACAAGCAGGTGAACAATACTTGTTAGAACTTCGAAACCAGCAGTCCTCCTTCTGCCTAAATTTGCTGAGGGCCATAGCTTCTTGTTGCCCAGGAAACACCTGGAAGACAGGATGGGAAACTCCACCAACCCCTGTTTCTCAAATCCAGACAAGCCACACTGGTTAGAATTCTACCCAGCAGTCCTGCTCCTGCCTGAAGTCTGCAAGCAAGTGTAACCATATGTTGCTATGGAAAGCACACAGACAACAGATTAGGGCAGATCCGGCAAAAATATGGCCTATCTGCCACCTTCAGCCCCTGTTTGAGGGAGTCCCACGGACCAGAACCCCATGCATAAAAGTAATGTGGGCACAGAAACAATAATCGGAAGGGTTCCTTCAAGACCCAGGAGCAAACTAGAATTGAAGCCCGGTAACTCACCCCACCTCACACCACAATCAAACCTCAAAGGGCATCAAAGAAGATAAAAGCAAAAATAGCCATCCAAAAAACAGCAGCTTCAAAGATTGAAGGAACTTCAGCCAACACAGATGAGAAAGAACCCACACAAGAATTCTGGCAACTCAAAAAGCTAGAGTGACTTTTTGCCTCCAAAAGACTGCACTAGCTCCCTATCAATGCTTCTTAACCAGGCTGAAATGGCAGAAATAAAATACAGATTATGGATAGAATGAAGATCATTGACATGCAGAAGAAAGTTTAAACTCAATCCAAGGAATCTAAAGAATACAATAAAATGATACAGGAGAGAAAAGACAAAATGGTCATTTTAAGAAAGAACCAAACTAAACTGACAGAGCTGAAAACTTGCTTCAAGAATTTCATAATACAATTGAAAATGTTAATAGTAGAATTGACCAAGCTAATGAAAAAAATCTCAGAAGTCAAAGACCAGTTCTGCAAAATAACACAGACAATAATAAATAAATAACAATAAAGAAGAATGAACAAAATCTCCAAGAAATATGTGATAATGTAAAGAGACCAAATCTATGACTCATTGGTGTCCCTGAAAGAGAGGGAGAGAAAGCAAGCAACATGGAAAACACATTTGAGAATATCATCCATGAAAATTTCTTCAACCAAGCTAAAGAGTCCAACATTCAAATCAAGTAAATGCAGAGAATGTCTGTGACATACTATACAAGACAACCACAACCAAGGCACATAGTTACCAAATTTTCCAAGGCTGAAATGAAAGAAAAAATGATAAAGGCAGCTAGAAAGAAGGGGCATATCACCTATAAGGGGTATAAGCCCATTAAACTTACAGCAGACACTGGTAGAAACCTTACAATCCAGGAGAAATTGAGGGCCTATATCCAGCATTCTTAGAGAAAAGAAATCCCAACAGAGAATTTTATATCCAGCCAAATGAAGCTTCGTAAGGGAAGAAGAAATAAGATCTTTTTCAGATAAGCAAATCCTAAGGAAATTCATTACCACTACATCTACCTTAAAAGAGATCCTTAAAGGAATGCTCAATATGGACAGGAAAGACCATTATTGGGGTCACCACAATAACACACACACCTACATAGACTATTCACACTATAAAATAATCACATAATCAAGTCTACATAGTAACCAGCAAGAAACATGATGACAGGATCAAACCTGCACATATCAATATTAACCTTGAATATAAGAGAGCTAAATGCCCCAAATTAAAAGGGCCAGAGTGGCAAGATGAATAAAGAAGCAATACCCAACTGTATGCTATCCACAAGAGAACCATCTCACATGCAATGACATGTGTAAGCTCAAAGAAAAATAATGGAGAAAAAATGTACTAAGCAAGTGGAAAACAGCAAAAAGCAGGGATTTCTAATCTCATTTCAGTCAAAATAGACTTTAAACCAACAACAATCAAAAGAGACAATAAAGGGCATTACATAATGGTAATAGGTTGAGTTCTATGAGACCTTATAGTCCTAAATTTACCTGTACCCTATACAGGAGCACCTAGATTCATAAAGCAAGTTATTAGACCTCTGAAGAGACTTAGATAACCACAAAATAATAGTGGGAGACTACAACACCCTCACTGACAGTATTAAACAGACCACTGCAGCAGAAAACTAACAAAGATATTCAGAACATGAATTTGATATTGGACTAAATGGTCCTAACAGATATCTACAGAAATCTCCACCCTACACTAACAGAATGTACATTCTTCTCATCTGCACATCTCACATACTCTAAAATTGACCACACAACCATTCATAAAAGAATCCTCAACGCATTTGAACAAACAAAAATTATACAAAACACATTATCAGACCACAGCAAAATAAAAATAGAAATCAATACTAAGAACATTGCTCAAAACCATACTATTGCATGGAAATTAAACCACCTGCTCCTGAATGACTTTTGGGTAAATAATAAAATTAAGGCAGAAGTTGAGAATTTATTTGAAGCTGATGGCAACAAAGATGCAACATACCAAAATCTCTGGGACACAGTTAAAGCAGTTTTGGATGGAAGTTTATAGCACTAATGCCTGCATCAAAAAGTTAAAAAGATCTCAAATTAACAACCTAACATCACACCTAGAGTAAGTACAGAAACAAGAGCAAACCAACCCCAAAGCTAGCAGAAGCGAAGAAATAACCAAAATCAGAGCTAAACTGGAGGAAATTGAGACGTGAAAAACCATACAAAAGATCAGCAAATATACAGGTTGGTTCTTTGAAAGAATATAATAAGATTGATAGACTACTAGCTAGACTAATAAAGAAAAAAAAGAGAAGATCCAAATAAACAAGTAGAAATGACAACTTGGGACATTACCATAGACCTCACTGAAATAAAAAAAAAAAGAAAAGAAAGAACCCTCGGAGACTGCTATGAACACCTCTGTGTGCAAAAACTAGAAAAACCAGAAGAAATAGATACATTCTTGGAAACATACAACCTCTCAAGATTGAACCAGGAAGAAATCGAATTCCTGAATGACTAATAATGAATTCCAAAACTGAATCAGTAAGAAAAAGCCCTACTAACCAGAAAAAGCCCAGGACCAGAGAGATTCACAGCCAGATTCTACCAGACATATATAAAGAATAGCTGGTACCATTCCTACTGAAACTAGTCCAACAAATGGAGAAGGAGGGACTCCTCCCTAACACATTCCATGAGGCCAGCATCATCCTGATACTAAACCCTGGCAAAACACAATGAACAAAGAAAACTACAGGCAAGTATCTTTGATAAATACCGACACAGATCCTCAACAAAA